GAGTGCACTCACACATGCATGCACATGGAAGCCAGAGAAGGACGTCCGGTGTTCTGCTTGATCACTCTCTGCCCTTGAGTCCAGGTCACTCACTGAAACTGAAACTAGGCTGGTAGCCAGTAAGCCCCAGTAATCTTTCTGTCTCCACCCCCTACCCTGAGTGCTGGGGGTACACTCAGCTTTTTCATTGTTGTTATTGTTAAAGACTTATTTATTTTATTTTGTGTGTATGATTATTTGCCTGTATGTATATGTGTGTACCATGTGCTTGCCTAGTGCCCAAGGAGGCCAAAAGAAGGCGTTGGATACCCCTGGAACTGGAGTTACAGTCTTGAGCCTTTGTGTGGGTGTTGGGAACTGAACCCAGGTCCTCTGCAAGAGCAGCAAATACTCTTAATCACCGAACCATCTTTCCAGCCCCCACACTCATCTTTCTATGTGTGTTCTGAGGGGTTTGAACTCAGGTCCTCAGCTTCCATAGCAAGTGCTCTTACCTGCTGAATCATTTTCCTAGCCATGACCATCTTCAATATACAACAAGCCAGCAGATGTCTTTTACAAGTCCAAACTGGAGCCCCTGAATACTGGCAAGACCTTGTAGAGGTCCTTCAGGCAGTTGTAGGAGGAAACCATACTTAGAATTCAGCCTCCTTCCACAAAATTGACCTGCCATGTCATAATGCAGCATCTCAGCAGTGCATCAACTGCTGTTTTAACATTTTGGAAGGAAAGGTACAAAGTACACTTCAAAGTAAATGTTTTCCAGCAGATGGGCCTGGGTGAGTAAGAGGTCCAGTTCATGCAGGAGTGATGTAATGCTGGTCTTGTGCATGAAACCAGGCATGCCATCTAGCCTTTCTATCCTTGGGTATCCTCAGCTACCTCACTGCCTTGGGGCTATGAGGACTAAAGGAGTCAATGCATTCAGGAAGATAGCCTAGCACAGGGTACATAGTATGTACTGAATGAATGCTTAACATTCCTATCTATTTCCACATGGAAGTTGCACACCTGCCTACAGAAAAAAATTTATAAGTCCACAGATATGAATTAGGAAGCTTCTTTCAGACTTGTGATAAGCCACTGGGGACATATCATTAGGGCATCTAAAGTCGGGGTATTCAGGAGCCAGAGTATCTGGGAAGAATTACAGTTCCTAGTCCTGGAATTTGCCCCCAGAGGAGAGCTTCCTCACTTTGGGTCCAGTCATTGGGCCAGTGTGCTTGATGGATATGTGTTTATAACGTTTGATCATAACTCCACCAGGGCCCTGTAGGCTGAATCATGGAGGGACGTGAAGGTTCCCCCAAGGCTTGGGTGGAAATGAGTCTTGCAGAGATCTGATAGTATATGGGGTTGTTTTTTGTTTTGTTTTGTTTTTGACAAGGTCTCCCTTGTCCAGCCCACCTGGAAGTCACTATGTGGACCAGGCTGGCCTTGATCTCACATAGATCTGCCTCTGCCTCCCAAGGGCTGGGATTAAAGGCACATGCCACCAAGCCCAGCATATATATTTTATTTAAGTTCCCAGCCATGATTCTTGGATGATTATTCCCATAGCCTTTATTAGTTCCTGAGTGACTTACTACAATGCTGGGTACTTTAGACCTCAGAAGCAAATTCTCTCTGGTCTTCTGCCTTCATTGCACCTGGTCCTCCTTTTCCTTTCTAAGGAACATCATGGAAACTCAAATCTTAAATTTTCTGAGCTGGGCTAGAGATATAGCTTAGCTGGTTGAGTGCTTGCCTAGCATGCATGAAGCCCTGTGTTCTATCCCAGCACCACATGAAAACTGGGTGTGGTGGTACATATTTATAACCCCTGCACTTGGGAGGTGGAGATAGGAGATCAAGAGTTCAAGGTCATCTTCAGCTACATAAGGAGTCTGAGGACAGCCTGGAATACATGAGACCCTGTTTCAGAAAGGAGTAAAAGACGCTGGAGAGCACTTGGTGGATTTACAAAGGACCTGAAGTTTGATTCCCAGCACCCACATTGGGCAACTCAAAACTGCCTGTAATTCTAGTTCCAGGGGATCTGATACTCTCTTCTGGCCTCATAGGCACTGCACACACAGGACACATACAGAGAAGCAGGCACACACATACACATAAATGAAAATAAAAACAAAAAAATTCAAAAAGGACTAGAAGAAACATTCCCAGTGGATTCTGTGTGATCATCAGTTTAAAGTTGTTTACCATTGCCCTGTGCTCCCTCCCTAAAGACTAGCCATCACGGTCTCCTGACTCACTTTTCATAAGCAACAGGATGTGCTCGGTTCCTAATCTTCATTACGACCCATCCTTTCTACATACCAGCAAGCTCTGCAGATTGCCTTAGTATGTGACCCCCAAGCCCAGGCACATGTGTACATAGTGCAGTCTCTCTTCCAGGTGCCTGACAAGGAAACCACTTCCACTCAGCATGAGCATGGGTCCACTAATGCTGAAACAGCTTAACTACTTAGCCTGTGCCATGTCTAGAGTGATGCTTCCCTCCTCCACTCATTCATCCACTCATTAATTCTAGGTTGAATCTTGGTTAGTACTATATATGCTGCAGGAAGGCATATATAATTTTCCTGTCAGAGTGGTTTTAGTGCCCGCTTTCAGTGGGCCATGAGACATTAAAGAAAAGATCAATTTACAGAGTCAACACATGCATGAAAATGTACCCGTTAACCCTGTAATCACCAGTCAAGGAACAAAATCTATTTTTATTACTTATGAGTGATGGAACTAAATCAACTGTGAGGCAGTGGGTTTCAGGAAAAAGAAGGGAATGTAACAGATGGAGATAGAGCCTGAATGAAGAGAGGAAGCAAAGAAAGGCTGAGAGACATGTAAACACACTAGGCACTGGGGTGTGGTCTGAGACACACAGCCTACTCTTCCTGAATCCTTATGATGTGAAGCCTGAGGATGAAGAAAACTCAGGTCCTTCCCACGCTTCCTAGGCCTTAAAGAGCTGCTCCTAGTAGTAAATGACATCATCTTTGTTTGGTGAGCTATGTGTAACAGAGCCTTCATGTACTTACCGTTGCCAGGTGCTGTGCTAAGTGCTCAGTAGGTAATATTCTGAAGTAGTTCGCTAGGAAAGTTATATTTTTAATTATAAACTGTAATACAGGTAACATTTGTCAAAGATTTCAGGAGTGATATGAGCAATAGTTTTGAAATTGTCATAGTCATAACAGCTAAATATTTTAGAAAAAAGAGCTCCATAAATATTTTCATGTAAATATAAACACATACACTTTGACTTAATCTTATTTCAGGAAATTTAGCCTTAGGAAATTATCCAAAAATCAGGAAATTAAGACATTCACTACAGGTTTATAATAGATAAATATTTTAAATAATCAATAGGTCAGTCTAGCATCTGAGGCTTTTGGCTAAGATCAAGTGTAATAGGTCCCAGTTACCTGCTTGTGAGGGGACACACACACACACACACACACACACACAATCAGAATTTACATTTATTAAAAATTAGTAGCTGGGCATGGTGGCGCATGCCTGTAGTCCCAGCACTTGGGAGGCAGAGGCAGGCAGATCTCTGTGAGTTCAAGGCCAGCCTGGTCTACATAGTGAGTTCCAGGACAGCAGGGGCTACAGAGAGACCCTGTCTCAAAAAGACAAAAAAAAAAAAAAAAAAAAAATTAGTTATAGAAGCCATAGCAACATAAAATGCTTATATAAAGGCAAAAGTCAGATACATCATCTTAAAACTGCACCATTTAAGATGTGTAGCTTCCATTTCTAGAAGCTCTCTCTATTCAGTGTTCTCTACTCTGCCTCTTCCTTTTCCTTGACCTTCTGCTAGCCCCTCTGATTCCTGTTCCATGTTCTCTCCGCATTTTCAACATACCCCTCTCCCTGAATTCTTCTGTGTTCTCAGGGTATAGGTTCACCCATTGGTTGTGAGATCTGCTTTCTTGGGTCTGTAAATTGTTCCTGGGAGCCCTTCATCCCCTGTAAGTGTAGTTGTTCTTGGGACTCCACCATCCACTGGGGAGGGGGGTGGAGAGGGCGGGGTGGGTGATTTTTGTTTTGCTTGGCCCAGATCCTAGACCTTTCACTAGTCCAGGCACACAGTATGTTAGTATAACTTTTTTTTTTTTTTTTTTCTGGTCTTCTTAAGATAGGTCTTCTTGTAGCCCCAGCTGGCCTGGAACTCACTATGTAGACCAGGCTGGCCCTGAACTCACAGAGATCTGTCTGCCTCTGCCTCCTGAGTACTGTGATTAAAGGCGTGCGCCCCATGCCCGGCTAGTTAGTATAATTTTTTAACCACTTTTCTGGAGTGGCTGATTGATTTTGAATATGAATTTGTACAGGAAACTCAGTTCTCTAGCAAGAGTCAACGCTGTCTCTCAGGCCTCAAGCTCCCAGTCTTTGAAGCCCTTACTCTGTACCTCTTGCACCCATTGGTTCAGCTTACACATCACTGGTCTTTTTTTTTTTTTTTTCTGGCACATAAACTTTTTTTCCTGCTCTCAAACTCTGCTGTGCATTAAAAAATAAATCATGGGGCCTGGAGAGATGGCTCAGAGGTTAAGAGCACTGACTGCTCTTGCAGAGGACCCAGGTTTGAATCCAGCATCCACATGGCAGCTAACAACCATCTGTAACTCCAGTTCCAGGGGATCTGATGCTCTCTTCTGACCTCCTTGGGCATTATACAACACAGGTGCAATTACAAACATGCAGGTAATACATTCATGCACATAAATGTTTTGTTTCCATGTTTCTGGTGGGACATTTAACCTACCATATTGATTAGAAGTCCTTATCCATCTTTTCCATTTAGTGCAACTATATGAAAATATATTTGAATATAACCAGAAAGCGAAAGGGACTTTGAGCTGATCTGCTTTGGACAGAAACACCAGGTTTATAGTCACTGTCTTTCTGTGTTTTTCACGTTCTGTATTGCCATTCTACTGTCTTAAAATGGCTAAACAACATCTTTTAACCATTGTCTTTTGTTTTAGAATGCATATGCTGCGACTGCCATAAATGGGACTGATTTTTGCACATCAGCAAAAGATGCACTCAAAATCATGTCCAAGAATTCAAGTCACTTCACATCTCTTAACTGCTTTGGAAATTTCATCATTTTCCTAGGAAAGGTGAGATACCTTGACTAAATGAACAATAGAACTTGGAATTTGGAATTTACAAAAATGGACAATGTAGTGGCCGCCTTGAGAAAAGATTCATATTTGTTGCCCTTTTAATAGCTGCTATGCTTCAGTATCTCATCTAATCCCCAGTCCCATGAGGCATCACTGTTCTGCAGATGAAATTGAGGCTTCTTGTTTCCAGGATCCCACAGTGGGTGATCATAATTTGAATCTTAGTCTGTCTTTCTTGGCTCTGACCAATTCTACCATTTTGGTTCCTGCATTTTGGATAAAACAAAAATACTACTAACCCCAGAAAATAAGTGTTGTAGGTTGCTGGTCATAAAACATTGAAGTAGTATTGATCCTGAAATCTGTACATTATTTAAGGGCCTTATATAAGATGGATTCTCAACAATTTGAATGGAGCATTGTTTTTCTATTGTCACCTGAATACTTTTTAATCAGCTGTAGACAGTCTTGAGTCATAAGGAGGCATCTTAATGCTCTAGCACCTCATGGTATGGCAGGCAGAGCCCTCAACTTGGAAACTTGAACTTCAGTTTTCCCACCTATAAAATGAAACCCACTGGCCTGGTGGTACAGATCTGTAATTCTCCAACTGCTCTGGAGGCTAAGCCGGTAGGCTCCCAAGGCCAAAGCCTCCCTGGGTACAGAGTAAGCTCAAGGCCAGCCTGGGCAACTTAGTGAGATGTTGTCTCCAAAATAAAATAAAAAGTAAAAATGGGCTGGGTATGATGCAGCTCAGTGGTAGAATAAAGGTGTAGCATTGTGTGAGGCCCTATTCCTCAGTACTGTAAACAGATAACTCTTGCCTCTTCTGAGTTGTAGAGAACTAAAATGTTGATGAAAATGATGCACCCTTGCTTGATCATGCCTCTCTCTTATGCAGTGCCACACAGTTCATCTCAAGTTGTAGAGAACTAAAATGTTGATGAAAATGATGCACCAAGCCCCACCCTTGCTTGATCATGCCTCTCTCTTATGCAGTGCCACACAGTTCATCTCTTTTCATGGAATTTCCACCCTCTGGGCCTACATCTGCATATTGTATTTGCCTGATCCTATTTCCACTTAAACACAGTTCGAATTCTTTGGTTTTGTTTTTTGAGGCAAGGTCTCCCTGTAGTTTCAGTTGGCATGGAACTCACTATGTAGACCAGGCTGGCCTCAGTTTCAGAGATCTGCCTGCTACCTGCTGGGACTAAAGGCGTGTGCCACCATACCCAGCTTTGCTGTTCAAACTCAACAAGACAACCCTGATCTTCCCCAGCATGTCTTCTCTATTCCATGCTAAACAGCCCCAGTTCTTTCAAGTATTCCTTTCTTTCTGATGAGTAGCACAGGTTTCAGCAGTGCCCACAAATGAACAAGATCTTGGTCACCTATTGGGACCTGGCCAGTTCCAAACATGAGGACTGTGCTCCTCACTTGGGATTCTGTGCTTCTGAGGTATAGTGTTTGGTACATGTCTATTGTAGCTAGCTGTCAACAAGTTGTGACATGCTTGGATTTCACAGGTGTATACTAATTGCACATATATTTAAGACTCAGAGGGGCTCCAGCTATGTTTTCATGTGACAGTGGCAACAGAAACACAAAGTAATCCTGCCTTTCAAAGCAGCCTAAATAAATTGTTATATGCAAATGAGTAGTATTGTTGACCTGGCAGGATTGTGGGTAATGAGTTTTCTAATTCCAAAATTATTTTAGAATGAGGTTTAAAAAATAAACTGTAATTTTAAACTTCATTTTGGATACTAACTTCCTATATTTCCTTTAAGAAGCATATAAAGTAGCTAGTGGGCTTTCAGTGTAGGATAAACTGTGAATCTTTTTTTTTTTTTTTTTTTTTTTTTTTGGACCCAGCTAGTCTGGAACTTTCTATGTAGATCACTCTGGCCTTGATCTCAGAGAGATCACCCTGCCTCTGCCTCCAAAGCTGGGATTAAAAGTGTATGCCACCAAGTCCAGCTGAATCTGGGTTTTTGAATGGAGTAGCACTCAGAATTCCATGTCTATCTTTATCCAGGGGTAATGGAGACTCCCAGGAGTCCCAAGTGGACTCCATACATCTGTTAAAGAATTGGTTATATCATGGCCTGTGATTATGTTCTCAGAAATATAATTATACATCACAAAAGCCTGGGATAATCTTATAAGGGGGTAAAATTAATCATTTACGAACTAATAGTTCCCCTACTCAATGGTTTGTTGCACTGTTTAAAAATGGAGTTGTTACAAAGAATTTTAAGGGGGCTGGGGAGTTGGCTCGGTTGGTAAAGTGCCTGTTGCACAAACATGAGGACCAGCACCCATGTAAAAGATGGGCGTGATGGTGCATATCTGTAACCCCAGCACTGAGGGGGTTGGGGGTGAGCAGACAGGAGCATCCCTGGAGCTCACTGGCCAGTCAGCTTAGCCAAATGGATGAATTCCAGGTTCAGTGAGACACCCTGTCTCAAAACAAGGTGGGGAATGAAAGACACTAGACAATGATCTCTGGCCTCCACACACATGAACGCACGCACACACACACACACGCACACAAGCTTTTAAGTAAAGATGCAAATGGTTTTTGCCATACTGTGGTGTTAAGTGCAACTTCTCATTGTCAGATTTTCTGGCAAAGACTCTTTAGGATACACACAGAAATATTAAATGTAATTGGGAAAAACCACAAACCCTTGTGAAATAGTCTAATAAACCTGTTTATAAAGGTTTTCATCGAGCTCTTGTTTGGGACAGGTGCTGGTGCTGTGCTTCACTGTGTTTGGGGGACTGATGGCATTTAACTACAACCGTGCACTCCAGGTGTGGGCTGTCCCTCTGTTGCTGGTTGCCTTTCTTGCCTACTTAGTGGCTCACAGTTTCTTATCTGTGTTTGAAACTGTGCTGGATACACTTTTCTTGTGTTTTGCTGTGGATCTGGAAACAAATGATGGATCGCCAGAGAAGCCCTATTTTATGGACCAAGAGTTTTTGGTAAGCAAGCACTTCATTTCCCCCTGTAACCTCCATCTTCACATGCGAGAGAGACAAGGCCCAGCCTTATTTCCAGTCCAGAGAGGAACTTTCACCTCCACCTGGTCCCAAAGTCCAGCGGAGGACATGGGCTGAGCTTTCCAAGGAACCCACTCCTTAGGAGATCTCTTCAGAGAGAAGTGTGAATGAATGAACACAGATCAAGAGGACTCCTCCTGGAGCAGACCTAGGGACCCTGGTGGCCACAGTAGTAGCCAGAGTCCCTTTGACACTAATGGTCTCTTGGATGACCTAGGAGCTCTAACAACTGATTTTCTAAAGCATTTTGCATTTCCAAGAGCCATTTCATACCCACGGAGCTTTAGAGAGCCTTGGGGTCCCTTGCTAACTAGGGCATACTCTGAGCAAAGCCCCATGCTGCTTGTATCTGGTAATGACAGGCAGCTGTTTACAACAGCTTTTTGCGACAAGTTTGTTGATCATTTGCCTTATCCTAGGTAGACAGGAGGCACTTAACAACTGAACCCAGGCTCATCCTTTGTCGTTGGGGGTTAAATAGCATTTTAATAATTGTTTTTCATCCTGTTGCCTACAACTTAAACATTAAAGTTCCCTTTAGCTTTAAACAACATCCAAAGCCCTCTCAGCACAACAGGCACCAAGTTCAGCCAGCAGTTTAATAGTTGAACAACTGATGTAGCCTCAGTTCTTACAAAAAATATACAAGTATGATTTTTAGTTATCTTTCTGTACTCTGAAGGAAGCATTTCTGATGGTTACATAAAACTAACTTAGCCTCTTCTCTCCTTGATTTGAAAGTTTCCAATTAAAAAGATCTACTTTGAAATCTACTCTGCTATACACACAAGCATTTTCATTCCATAGGGAAAACCTTAAAGATTCAATTCCCTAAAATTCTCCGGCCAAGAGCTTTTAGCAAATGGTGCCCACAGTGCAGACGTATCACTGGTCTCTTTCATTCTTTTGTTTTTCAGAGTTTTGTAAAACGGATCAACAGATTTAACAATGCAAGATCCCCAGGAGGCAAGGATTCATTACAGAATCAAGAGGGGGCAGAACTCCAGCCCATTGTGAGATAGGGGCCCAGAGAACTGGCACCTGGGGAACCTGATGGTGGCTTGACCGTGCTACAGCTCGGGAACCATAGGAGTTCACAACTTTCTTCACACGAACTAGAATAAGGAAAACACGTTTAAAACTATAGAACAATTTTAAGAGCACAACATAGCTGGGCACGGTGGTAAACACCTCTAGTTTGAGCAATTGGGAGGCTGGAGCCAGAGGACGAGTAGTATAAAACCAGCTTGGGCTACATAGGGAGCCTGAGGCCAGTCTGAATGTTACATAGTGAGAACTTGTCTCAAAACCTCAAAAACAGGGCTGGCGCCAGGCACGGTTACACACACCTTTAACCCCAGCACTTGGGAGGCAGAGGCAGGCAGAGCTCTGTGAAAACAAGCCCAGCCTGGTCCACACAGCAAGTTGCAGGCCAGATGAGGCCTACAGAGAGACCCCAAAACCTAAAAAAACAAAAAACAAAAAAATAAGGCTGGCAAGATGGCTTCAGTGGTTAAAGGTGCTTGCCACCACACCTGAGGACCTGAATTCCATCTCGTGGACACATAGGAGAGAACCACTCCCAAAAGCTGCATTCTGACCTTCACACATGTACACATACGCTCACATGAAAATATTAAAAATAAAACACACTACATAAAAACTCACCTTAGTTTCTGTGGTCACGGCAAGGCTCTTGTCTGAAGCCGGGCGTGGTGACACACGCCTTTAATCCCAGCACTTGGGAAGCAGAGGCAGGCAGATCTCTGTGAGTTTGAGGCCAGCCTGGTCTGCATAGTTCCAGGACAGCTGGGGCTACAGGGAGACCCTGTCTCAAAAAGGCTCTTGTCTGCCAGGAATGGTGGCAAACGCATTTAATCCTAGCACTCAGGAGGCAGGGGCAGGTGGATGTCAAGCCCCGGAAACATGCTAAGAACATGTATTTGTTTTTCAAAGTACAACTCTTGGATTTAGTGACATCAAGCCAGTGTGACCTTGGACTAGAACAGGGCACAAACAGGAGACACAGGCAGTTTAACAAGATGTGACTCACTGGCTACAAGTAGTCGGCACTCTTACAAATCAGCAAACATTCTAGAAAGGTTTCAACCTGGTTTCAACCACAGTCCAAATGAGAATTTTTTTTTTTTAAATACCTGGACAGCATCCGAACTGAGATGAGGCAGTAAGAACTTTTCCTTTTCAAAGCCTTAAATTGGAACACTGCAGTCAGCCTTTCATTTAAGATGGCTTTGAAGAATCACCCACCCTCTGAACAGGAGGCTCAATTTGACTTATTTGGCATGGCAGGGTATGTGATGTAATATAAGGCTTCCTCCCCTTCCTGCCTGTAAGTAACATGACAAGAAAGAGCCTGACAGCTCAGGTCTACTTTAGATCTAAGTTTTGTCTTAAATAGCACTGCTGAATTCGTTCAACTCAGAGCATTCTCAGAAACAAACGTAGTCATCCTAGAATAATGAAGAAGAAATTTTATTTTTGTGGGTTCAAACCTCTCCCCTTTATCTGTATTGGCAAAAAACGCCCATGTTTAACAGTCAGTGCTATCAGAAGAAATCACTTGGCTGAGCAAGGTCAGAAAGGGAGTTACCGACTCCCCTGGTGATCCTACCTTCCTTTCCTGCACTTAGCTGCTGTTAGCATTCTCTGAGGTGAGACTGATGGCTTCGATTTACCCTAGCTTATCATTAATCAGCACATCCCATGTCTGCCTCGGAACGTCACCCTACAATATGCACCTAAAACTCTCCCCAACTCCGGAGCATCAGTATTCCTAAAGACGTTTTTTAAGATCCAAATTGAGTTTAAGATGGTAACAAGAACCAGGTAACTCCTGTCACTTACTATAGCAATGAGCAATTTTTCATTTCTTTTGTTTCTTTGTTTTTTGTAAATTTAAGACAGGGTCTCTGGAGTCCAGGATGATTACAAACTCAAAGCAGAAACCTCTGCCTCAACCTCCCAAGTACTGGGATTACAGATGTGAATTGTCATACCCAGATTAAACCCTTGGTCTCCATCAGAGTGCCCTGTTCTGTAAATTAAATAATGTTAAAACACCTTTACTCTGGGAGAGATATCTCTTTCGGTTCCTAATCTGACTCTGCCTATGCAGAAGCTAGCCAGAAAATAAACCAGCCTGTGGTTCACATGAGTGTTCAAAAAAATTTATTTATAAAAAATACAATGGGATAAGTTTATGCTGAGAAATGCAGCAATAAATACAGTTGAAGAGAACAGAGCAACTCTATATCGATACATTGGCACAAATGAAGACTCTGCAGCCGACCACCCACCCAGACCGACATGTTGGCAGCCATTTTTTGTACACGTGCCTTTTAAAGCGCCACTTGGAAAGACCTTGTCGGCTCAAGGGGGAGAATGAGTACACATATAATCACAAATGCACACTGGTCATGACTTTATTTAAAAATCAGCAAACAATACTGCAGAGACATTGATATGTAAGTTTCTAAAATGCTGCGCCTTAGATTTAGTTGGCAAAGACCACAATTAAAAGCAAATCAGCATGAATTTAGTCTTCCATGTAAAAGCCATACACTAAACTGTAAAAAAAGTTTCCTATTGTTTGAAAATACCAGTTTAACTGTAAGATTGTAAAAAATGCATAGATCTTCCATAAAAGAATTGGCTATACAAGAACTCCCCTTTCACAGTATTCCTTTTTACTTCATTTGCAAGTTATTGGTTATGCTGTAGGATTTAATTATTACAGCACTAAAAGGCAACTATTATTTTAGGGAAGAAGCAGAAAAAAGAAAAAAGGAATGTATGTAAGGCAATTCTTAGGTACAATAAGCATAATAGTGTTTGAGGAAGACGAGATAAAAATTACTCAAGGCTAGCTTGGTTCTCACTGGATACAAACAATGAACTAAATACTGAGCTCCTCCTGCCTGTTAACCTAGTAATCGATACCTTGGTGGTCTCCATACTGGTATTCTCGGGGGTCATCATCTGGGTACTCGCCCTGATAGTCATCCGGGTATTCTGCCTGATAATCACTATCACTGATTTCTGACCCATTGGTTCCTGTGCCCTGGCTTCCGTTGTGAATGACAGGTTCTGTGGGAGCAGCACAGTATTTAGGGTCATACACTTGCCGCCCAAGCCCATACACACTCATTCCTTTCTGGGAAGCAACTTTGTTGGTCCCCATTTGTAGAGAAATGGTCGAGTTGTCCACTGGCTGTAATGTTAGCTTCTGATCGTAGATGTCTCTTCTGGTACCTGGTGCTAACATCCCAGCCTGGAATCAGAGCACAGCAGAAGGTAAGTTAAAATAGCAGCTAAGATCTATGCTTGCTAATATTTCTAAATTATAAAAGTCACACCAAGTGGGAGCACAGTAACTTTCATTTGGTTTGATGTAGTCCTAACAGCAAAATATTCTGATATCAATCACTTTATGAAGTGATTTATTGGCTTCTAAGTGGATTCAGGCCTCCCTTCAAATGCCTGCTCCCCTGTAAAATTGCTGTGGCCTCAGACAAATGAACTTACTTTTAGTTTGACTTCCCATACACAAAGAATATAAAAGCAAAGTCCAATATTGGCATACCTAAAAGTTACCCTTGAACACCATAATGACCATACAGGTCACCAATTGCAAACACACATACATGCATTCAACAAAAACCATGTTGAGCAGACCTACAAGACTTGAGTCTTTCCAAAAGGCTGAGACACAGAAGAGCCAAACCACTTTAGAATAACTCTACCTTTCTTTTTCAGACAACAGTATCTCATACCTCGGTTTTATACTATGTCACACACACCTTCAGATGTAAAGTGGGTGAAAAGGCAAACTTGAGTGGCAGCTGTGAGAAACAACTGCAGAGTGATAGGACAGGTTCCATAAAGTGAAACAACAAATCTTATCATTAAGAAAAAGGTTAAGGGGCTGGAGAGATGGTTCAGCAGTTAAGAGCACTGGCTGCTTTTGTAGAGGATGCGGGTTCAGTTCCCAGCACCCACATTGTGGCTAACAACCTTCACTGTCTCCAGTTCCAGGAGATCCAACGCACTCTTCTGGCCTCCATGGGCATTGTGTACATGGGTGCACTTACATACACACAGACAAAACAATCATACACATAAAATAAAAATAGTACATCAAATACTAAAAAGGAAAAAAGGTTTACCAAACCTTACTCCCATTGTTTTGGGTACAGACTCTGCTGCTGGCAAATAGTTACTGGAAGTTCCTTCTTAGGTGCTGGTGATCTATTTTTAATAAGGGATTACTTCTATCTTGGTGCTAGAATGAAACATTCTACAATTTCATTTAAATTACTTTTTTAATTTGTGTGTGTATGCGTGGTGTGTGTGTATGCACACACCATGGGGAGGGGTGTGTGCATGCCATGGCGCACATGTGTAGAGGTCAGAGGAGAACTTTGTGGTGTCAGTTGTCTCTGTCTACCCTTCACATGGGTTCCAGCAATTGAACTCAGGTCACCAGGCTCTTGTGGCAAGCACCTTTACCTCCTGGGTCATCTTACCTGCCCCCTCATCTTCTATTTAAAAACTCCTCATTCCCATTTTAAAAATTAGTATTTCATAGATATTTCTTTCTCTCGTAGCTTAGTATTTCATAGGGATGCTGGTTAAACAGTAGAAACACCAGATAACCTTATCTTCTAATTTAAATGGACCCCTCTAAACACAAAACTGATAAAGGGGGGGAAAAAACCCAACATCTAAACGTGTAATCTTTTACTTGGATTTTGGAGCAAAAGCGCAGATAAACAGAACTTTTTTCTTCTGGTTAGGCAGAAAGGCCAGCTGTTCCCACTGCCAACAAAAACCATGAGCCACACCACACTTTTCATGCTGTAGAAAAGGTCCTTTGAGTCTTTTGCTTTTCCAGCGAAATTTCCTTTCGTGAAGACTCTAAATATGCTATAGAAAAAGTACTCAGAGACTTTAGCTAATGAGAGTAAGGCAGTGCTGCTATGGGACAGCCTCCCTGTGCTCTGAGCTACCGGTACTGAAGGACAGCACTTACCTGGCTGGCTCCTTTGTTGGTACCCATCTGCAGACTAATCGTGGTCTGGTCAAATGGTTTGTCGGTTTGCATTTTGGGATCATAGAGATGCCTCCTAGTCCCATAGGCTGTCATGCCTGCCTGGCTGGCACATTTGTTGGTTCCCATCTTTTAAGTTAAAATAAAATTAGCAATAATTACTAGAAGTCAGTAACATATACAACAAAATAGTCTGTTATTAAAAAAAGAAAAAGGGAAGATAAAGCTGGGGGTGTGGTTCAGTGCTAGAGCACATGCCTAGCATGTATAAAGATCTGGGTTCAATTTCCCAGCCCGCCCCCCAAAAAAAGACAGAAAGCTGGGAACTGAGAGACTTCTAAGCTAAGGCTCTATCACTTAGGTATAAATGCTTTCTATGCTTTTGCAAACTGCAGGCACTAATTTTAAAAAAGAAAATTTTCAAAAAACCAACTATATAGAACCTCATGGCAGAATTAGCCACATATAAACTTGTAGAGGCACAGAGATCTAATATTTAAAAGCAAGTTATTACACACCAGAATCATGAATACCTTCCTCACTGCCCTACTTTCTGCAGCACAAGTAACCACACTAAGGCATGTTCACTACGTCATAGAAATGGACAACATGCCTTGCAACTCTAGTTTATAACCAGGTGTGATCAACCTTGACATTACAATGTGATGCTGTCATCTATAAAGTTCACACTCAAGAACCACACAATTGGTTACAAAAAAATTGCAAAAACTCTTATAATGGTTTGAGCAACTTTACAGTTGTGTCTCAGCATCTGCACAGCTATCTTTGGCTGCGTGCGAGGCTGTGAGCTGAGAGCTAAAACAGGGAGACATATGCCAGCTGCATTCTCTACGACCTTAAGAAACTACTTTTTCAAGCTTGGAAATCATCAACATTTTCATGGAGAAAAAATACATTTTATTCTTCCAACTCTCAAATACTGGCCAGAACCAGAAAGAGGCAGAAAAAAAAAGAGTGTGACCTGAACCAAGTTCAGAGCAACAATAATTAACTTCTTTTCCTCACCACGAACCATGCGGCTCCAGGGCCGAGCCATGCAGCCAACTGTACTGGAGGAAGCAGCAAGCTTCTGCTTTGCTTTTCTCATAAAAGCTTTTTTACATACCCCAAACTGTCCTTGAATTCCTTATGCAGCCACAGATAACCTTAAATCCCTGATCCTTTACCGCCTGAGTACTGGGACTACAGATAGATGCCACCAGGCTCAGCCAAAAATAACATTTGTAAAAGAAAACTTTTACTACTAAAAGCAAAAGCCCTTCACTGGAGAAGATTCACAAAACATATGTAAGAGTAAAAGGGAAGAAAAAAAATCACTATGCTATTTGTATAGCTGAAACTAGTTTGTATCTAGTTGGCCACAGACCTTTGAGAATACCTTTCAGCTTATTTTTCAACCTATGGGTCCATGTATGTCTAAAGTTATACACACATATATAAATACAAACCCACATTTGCAAAAATATGCCTATCCTTTATAAACTTAAAAGAAAAAAAAACCCTCCAACTGATCACAGTATTTTACAATCCTATTTTTTCCCTTAAACCTATCTTTCAAACTAGTATAAGCTTTTATAGTGTAAGTTACTTCAAGGAGTTACAATTTAACCAACTGATTAGTATTTGGAAATCCACCTTTCCTATTTCCTGTTATTTATATAATGTTGTAGTTTTAACACCTGCTCCCTTGTCCCCTACTCAAGAAGAATATCAGTGCTCAGAGGCTTTAAGTCATAGCATTTGTAACACTTGGCTGTGTTTTTGTGATGCTTTCAAGGGGAAAGTGTGAAAGGCAAAAGGCTGTCTTAACTACTTCTCAAGCACTAACCACATCAAACCAGCAAGGCTTGTTAAGAGTATCACAATTTAATAGTGTAAATAAATGGCATTAGTTTTTTAAAATTGTTTCCCTTAGTCAATAACACTTAGGAATTTATAAAGTGCATTTTCTTAAAAAAAAAAAAAAAAGGCAATATGTTTAGAAAATAATTTCCTAGAGAACTGCTGTTAAGTTGCATAGCATACTTAAGAGTTTCTTTTAAAACCACCATCACTTTCTCAAAGGTATTATTTATGTCATTATAGTTTTTTTTGAGACAAGGACTCACTCTACAGACCAGGCTAGCCTGGAATTTACTATGTAGCCCAGCCTGGACTCAACCCATAGCAATCCTCTTGCCTCAGCTTCCCAAGTACTGGGATTACAGGTGTGAGCCACCACACCCAGGTACAGGTTTTAAAAAAAACAGAAACTGTGTAAATCACATATCTGTCCAAGAAATCTGCATTATAATTCGTCCATGCATACTTTACATATGAGAGCCATAACCTCTTGTGTGGCCATAATTAATGACACTGGGTAAATTAACTGAAAAAATAATACACCACTTACCTGCAAACCAATTACACTTTGACCAGCCTTTAATTTTCCTTCATCAAAATGTCTTGTTTGTTTCTCTGCATACTTGACTCCGATGTCAATAGTCGTATGGAATCCTTTTGTTTTAGCCTAGACGGAGACACACACACACCAACTGAGTAGAAACACAGATATTCTGCTGGCAGCATTGTAACAAAACAACAAAACACCTATTTCCACAGACAAAGGCTTCATGGGTGATATCATACCAGAGGTAAAAAACATACTTAAGGTTATTCAGTGATAACGCTGTACCCTTTGAAATAGGAGGTTCTAATTAACCTATCTAGCACAAGGCAGCTGAAGTCAGCAGCCTTCCCACAAGCTAGCAATTACAGAGACGCAGGCCTCTCCCAACCCGGTCTGTGCTCTCAGGGGAAAGCAATGATGCAATTCATCACTAATGTGTAGGGAATTTTTTTAAGCAAGTGAAGAGCATGTACGTACCAGACCTGCTAGAGCCACCAGTGTAGTCTGAACCTGAGTCATGTTGCCATTCTCAAAAAGATCATTTGCTTCAAATATGTCATGTGGTTTCATACCATAAGCCTGAATAGCTTTAATAAAGTTGCCGATGTTCTCCAACTATAAAGAAAAAGAGGCACATAACATTTGGTGCTAAATACGGACACTCTAAGAATCTTTAGCCTTTATGACCCGTTACAAGATGCCAAACAGAAGGTTACTTGGTGAGGTTTCATTACCAAATACATAGTAAGCACAGTTCTCTATTGAAAAGAAGCTTTATCATCGTATTAATCATTTTAACAACTTTTTTGGGGGACAGGATCTCATGAAGCCCAAGCTGGCCTCAAACTGGCATAGCTAATAATGAATGCTCTGGAGCTTCTGCTCCTCCTGCTCACATCCCACCCAGTGCTGATGAGATCACAGGTGAGCACCACACACACTAGGCTAGGGATCAAACCCAAGACTTCCTACATGCTAGGCAAGCACTCTACCAACCCCAGCTGCCCCTCCTCCCCTAATTCTTTAAGGGCAAAATTGTATATGTGTGTATATGTGTGTGGTGTGTATGTGTACTAGGGTACAGATACATATCCTCCATCACTCTCCACTTTATCAAGGCAGGGTCTCTCCTGAACCCAGAGTTTGCGCTGGGATTCCTTGTCTCTGCCTTCTAGGGCTGGGATTATAGGTAGGCTGCCATGCCCACCCAGCTTTTATGTGGGTTCTGGGGATCTGAAGTCTTGGGTGGCAAGTACTTTATCCACTAAGCCATCTCCCTAGCCCCAATGTCCTTATAAATTTTTAAGAATTCTGTATCGAAGCTATGTAAGCCCAGAATTTTGTTAAAAGTTACACACATACAATAATAATTCACTATGTGTTTTAATCTTAATTTCAAAATAAACTTGTAGTTATTAAATGCTCAACATATTTCCAACACATACTTCAGACCAAATAAATAGTCAATGTTACTTAATCATATACTTTAATGAAATAAAACTGTGTCATACAATGTTCTCCTAAACAAGTGGTTTGTTATGTTAAAATGTCTTGTCTCCCCCCTCCTTTATTCTTATGGTCTAGATGGATTTCTTTCATGAAATTGTAACAAATCCTTGAAAGCAGATGGACTAAATGCAAAAAAACTTCCAAAGCTAAGCACCTGAAGATTATAGATGGTCCAGTTCAAAAAACAATTATGGTGACTTTTTTTTTTTTTTTTTTTTGTGTGTGTGTGTGTGTGTGTGTGTGTGTGTGTGTGGCCTTTTTGAGACAGGGTCTCCCTGTAGCCCCAGCTGTCCTGGAACTCACTATGTAGACCAGGCTGGCCTTGAACTCACAGAGATCTGCTTGCCTCTGCCTCCCAAGTGCTGGGATTAAAGGCATGCACCACTACGACTGGCCCAAGGTAACATTTTTTTTAATGGCAAAAATAAACAGCCACGTGCAAAACTTTCTGCTTACATATTTTAAAGTGGTAATCAATAAACAAATTTTGACCTTTTTCATTAAATATAAAGAAACCAGCCGGGGTAGTGGAGCTCACCTGCAATCCCAGCACTAAGGAGGCTGAGGCAGGAGTATCCCAAGTTCGGGCCACCAAGGGCTCTATTATGAGGTAGAGAGCCAGCCTGGGCTACAAAATGAAACCCTTATCTCAAACAAAAAGGGAAATTAATTGGAACTGGAGGCTGCTCATCTGGCAATTACCTGAGGCCAGTTTAGCGAGGATTCGTTGACCTTCTTCACAGAGCCTGGCTGTAGCTTGTTTATGAGTCTGAAAACAAAAGTCATGCAAAAACAAGCACTGTAATATTAAGCTGATTCTTTTAACATCAGTAAAGGAAAGTAGTAAAACATTTGCAGAGTAGCAAGGTTGACTTCCTACACAGGGAACCAGGATTAAGATCAAAGTCCTTGGAAAGAACCAGAAGAGTAGAAATGCACCCCGGGCACTGCTTACTCGCACAGGATGATGCCATCCTTCAGGCCCAGCTGGAAGTTGGTGCCGATGCTCATGCCTGTCACTTCTTCTATCCAATTGCGCAGATCTTCCTCTGCCTGGTGATCATACTTGGATGCAATCTGCAATACATATTACCTAACCTTAGAGCAGCTCGGTAATGGGGCAACGCCCACTGCTGACCCACAAAGCACTCCGCTTTCATTCATGACCCTCAGCCCCAGCAGTGACCGTTAGACAGTGAACCTAATCAGTTGTCACAGCGTCAGTAGCTAAGCACAAACTCGATGAAGACAGCATCACTTCTGAAGAGTGCATGGAGAGAAGCCAAGGCTAAGAGAGAGTATCTGACACAACAGATTCCCAGTGACACAGGATTTAACGACGACAGGACTCCACAGAACATTACATTACAATACGGCATCAGCTGGGACTTACACTTTAAAGATTGAGTCATTAATTATAATTACCACCTTCCAAAGAAAGATGGGGGAAGGGATCCCACCAACACATGGGACTATTTTACCAGTACCTCAACTGGTCAAGACATACCATTCTAATAGTTCCGTCGTATGGAAAAAGTTCTGAAATCTGCCTTCTATTCAGCCAAATATACATTATACCACACACACACACACACACACACACACACACACACACACACACACACCTTTCCTCAGTACCAACTGTACTTCTAGTCAATACTGAAATTCACTTCATGTAGTTTCTACCCCATTAGACTTCTCATAGGAAAGCAAAGCGCCTTTGGTTCATTTTGGAATTTTAGTATCTAACATTGTAACCAACGCCTTAAACAAGTATTAAATAAATCTAAGTAAATTGGTAAGTTTTTTATGGAATTCTACAATGAAGGCAGCATACCAATGCAGAGATCATGCTTTTAACGACTCACTAGGGCAGGTAAAATGGCTCAGCAGGTAAAGGTACTTTCCATGCAAGCCTTATAGTGGGAGTTTGAACCCGGAATCCATGAAGATGGAAGCACAGAACAGAGTACATAGTTGTTCTCCAACCTCAACAGCATGACCTCAAATGCCTACACATATTCATATAACACAATAATTGTTTTAAAAGATATTTTAAAGGCATTGCTCTGGACTTTAAAAAAATAAAAAACTTGCTAAATATGATTTTGAAAGATCCCTTCATAAGAATATAAACCTAAACTTTCAAAAAAAAGCAGAATTTAAGTAAAATTGGCATGCTCAAGTTCTTAAGCTATTCCATGCCCCAAAGTCTTTAAAGAGGCTGGTCAGTGACATGTAAAGAACACAGCTGGGAGAAAGGGAAGATCACATGCCCTTTGTCTTCTTCAGCATGGGTAGAAATGCCAAATACACCCAAGTAGGCAGAGCCCAGGGGATTGAGATTAGGAGCTTGGGGATCAACTACAGCACTGTTAGAAATGGAAATCAACAGCAGTGATGTTTGCTGTCCAGAAACATTAACTAGGCTTCCTTACTGAAAGATAAGCACCAGGACATTTTGGTCATGAGGAGGTCCTTAGAGTTCCCGGCTAACTAGCCATGCAGGAGCCAAGCACAGCTGTGGAGGACTCTGGGCTGCATTCGGGTCCTTTCCTAACACAGGATCATGGGTGAGCAGGGTCAGGACACCTAAGAAGCTGGTTAGCTTACTTCTGAAGTCACCTAGCTTACCTCTAACACCCAAAGTGAAAACCAGCACCTAGTCTTAACAACAAACTGACAGACTTGACTGTAGTTCCTTTTCATGACCCTCTCTCTCTTCCCCATGATGAAGTTAAACTTTTTTTCAAGATGAGAAAAGCTCTATTCTCTATTTTTAATAAAGAAACGGAAGAGTCACAAACCCTGCTTGCAGGTTTATCAGAGCTCAAGATTCCCCAGAACTCACTGGAGTGCTGCTGGTGTTGGCAGGTGCCTCCCCACCGCCACCAACAAGGCACAAGGCT